TTTGCATTTGATTTTAATTTATGATTTATTGACTCATCAACTTCTCTCATCATACCAATCACACGAGTGACAGAAATTTCATTAAAATAGTGATAGCTATAAAGCGCAGGTTGAAAATCTTCTTCTTCAAAAACTTGCGCCCTGTAGAATATAATTATATGAAATTTGTGGTACACAATAAACTATTTACTGATTTGAAATAAATAAATTATTACCTGTTAGCAAAGTCCCTAATTTCTTCAATGATTTTATATATGCATATACAAAATGCTTTCAATGGAACATCTTCAATTTCATATGGCTTTTGGAAATATAGATTTGTGAATACCGTTTGTGCTAAAGAATGCCCTTCAAGCCATGACACAAGACAAGCTAATGTAACATCTATTATTGATATTTGTTCAGACACAGAAAGTCCGCTTAATTTCAAATCTTCTAACTGTAATAATTATATAAAATAATAAACATTAATACACTAAATTATACATTTTCTTTTTAAATTATTTATACAATAATTATTCTAAATTTAATATACATAGTAATACTCGGAGAGATCAGTTGAAAATGTATTAAAAACAGGAAATTTTTCATAATTTGACTTAAGCATGAGTGTCATAAATAGATTTTACTGTATTAAAAACTAAGATTAATTTATCACACTGACTATTCTGACATTTCTTGACAGTTTTATAAATAAACAAATTAATAATATATAATAAATTAATAAATAAGCATTAATTTTACTTTGATTGCTTTTGATTCACGATTACACATCATGCCTGCATCCATTTTGGGATCCATTATTTCAATAGCTGACATTGCTTCAAATAAACCGAAAAAGTAGCCATGTAAAAGTTCACCTAATTCTAAATCTGAAAAATTAATTTTGTTCAATTATTATAGGAAGTGGTCCAACGGACAGATAAATACTGCAATTGCATGTGTCTCAAGCAGGGTGGGTGTAAATTACTGGTGTCACAAGGAAGTTTATAAATTTATAGTAATAATTATAGTTTATAATAATTAATTTCCGATAACTTAAGTGAATAATAAGTGAATATAATTGAGGTATAAGCATGTATAAGTGTATAATTAAGTAGATTGCAGCACTGATTATAGGTACTGATTATTAAAATTAATTAGTTCCATTTATAATTCTAGAGACGAATCCACCAGTTTAATATCACAAATAATACATTCTCCAACACAAATAAAACACAATGCATAATAAATTTAAATACCTAATAAATATGGAAAGTTTGAAATAAATATACTGATGTAAAAATATTTTTACCTTGATCAAAAGTCACCAAAACACAAAAAAAAAAAGGATAGAAGGTAAACTTAATGACCATCAATTCTCATTCTTCAATTGCATACATGATAATGATTTATGTATTGATTTAAGAAATATATTTAATGGTTAACTCGGAGGAGGGCACTGGGGTACTGAGTACTTAAYTAATTTTTAGGGTATTTAAGTWTACCCCTACTTCTTTTTTGACGGTTTGGCTAATTAACTACACAACACATCTCCACACTTCTTTTTATACAATGGGTTGGTCTCCTAGCTTTTAATCCAGCCAATTACAAAAAATCATGGATCTTTAATGGAAGAAGAGATGAGAATAATTATTAAAATATAATTTAGATAATTAATGATGGTTCCAAATAGAACTACAAGAAAGATTTCTTATGTTATATGCTAGTGATTTTTTATAGCACACTTAGAAATCACTAACTTGATACACCAGGAAAAAATACCCTATAAAATAGTGGCGTAAAACAAAAAGAATCTACAAAAATATTGATATATATGGTCTTTAAGACAATAATAATTATATTACCTTTAATTGAATCAAAAAATTCTGGAGTAACATCCTTCCAATTATAACTTGGATTAGACTCATTTTTTTGATTAGAAATTGATTTACAGTCAGTCTCCATTCTAAAAATTAATAAATTTTTACTAACATAAATATATGGACACAATGTATTAATTATTAGTTAGTTGAAATTATAAACACATATGGGGACAACATTATATGCTTAGCTCCCAAGGTTAAAATGAAGCGCTAACATTTTTACTATTTTCATTTCAGTTTTGCAGTTCAATATCAATAACTACAAAATGAGAAAATTACTATAGCATTTAAGGTTTAGATTAAGTTATACTGAGTTTATTATATTTCTGAATGATTTTTTTTTGGCACACACCCATACAAAATTTAGACTTAATACAAATTATAATATAGATATTATATCCAATATCTGGACTTTTAATTCTTTGATATTTTATTGTGGGTTGGACTTTTTTTCACAAAAAATGGGGATGAGCATGCTAGGTGAATCAGTTAATATATTTCTCATAAATACTTTTTATTTTCTATTAACTGCAGAAAATATTTTTCAATATATTACCATCTGCATTATTAAAAAGGAAGATAAAAACAGTTTTTTTTAAATTTTGATTTCATAACTACAACCCATTTACTGTATACAACTTAAAGTTTATTGCTACTTTACTATAAAACATTGCTGTAACGCTATGTCAACGGTAATGGAGTCAGAATATGCCAACCTGATAATCTTTCTTTTTGAAATTACAACCAACGGAATGTGAGTTTCTGATAGTTTTGGCGATTCTATGTATTGCAAGTCCGGCGATGGTGGGTCAGGTTACACCGTCTTTCGTATCACTGAGAGCCTTGCGACGAAGATAAACGTTTGTGTCGACTGCTGTATTGATCAAAAAATTAGAGTAATATGAATTAGAGTACACATCGCGTTATTTTCGGACGTGCGCCAAATCGCCGTGCACGGCAGCGCGGTTTGTTATTGTAAAACGCATTGGGCACGTCGGACGTCTGTACCTCATTTTATACTGTGCGAAGTCTGTAGCGTTTGGGTACCTACTAAATAGGTATGTCGTTACTCGTTATTACCGTGTGCTGTGTGCGTGTGCAAAAACGTATGTACTGTAGTAATTATTTTATTGTATAACGTAAAAATATATTATTATTATTATTATTCGTATTTTGTTTTTGTGATTTGTGTAGGTAGCAGGTACGGATCTACGAAGAAATACGATACGAGAAGTCGAGAACGTTATCAAAATATCAATCGGCGTTATCAGTGGTCGCAGACCGCAATTGCAAATTACAATATTATAATCATAGACCTTATTACACTGAAGTTTAAAGCTTAGATAAGTATAATATATTAATATCATCTAAGGGTGTAAGAGTCTATGAATATAAAATAATGTTAAAATAGCAACCGCGGGGGTATAATTATTAATTACCGTCGATGAACGTCAGCAGGCATGCCAACAGTAAGTTGATGCTATATCTGATAATTTAATAAGATTTATTATTATAAATTATAATCAGTTTATAATCGAACAAGTAGGCATGATGCATTCAAATCAATATTMATTCTATATTCAAAGCATTTACTAACTTTAAACTTTAAACATAGAGAACAACATTATCAAGCTTCTAAAATGTGTATGTAAAATAATGAAAGTAACTGAAGAATATTTTAAATTAATTAAAGTTGACAAGGAGCAATTATTTATAAAACACATACATTTGAGAATCATACTAGCTGTTCAAAGTTCAAAACACATAAGCCTTGTCAGAATATTTCCAGAATGCACAAAATACTTTAAAATTACTGATATTTACTGCAGGCCACAAAAAAATTTATCTCATTAATAATATTTGTTTATTATATTTAAAAATACATCTTCACATTTTTTTGAATTTAGTCTGCATGTATCTTAAATAATAATTATTTTAATATTTACCAAATAAATACTGTTTTTGTCTTTTTGACATAATATCTAATTTCCATTTCGTCTTTTATGTAGTTTAGTAATAAATTAGTAGATTATGCATCATCACAAGCTTGAAGTTTTTATTAGCTTTATAGCAATACTCAGCAATAGCAATCATAACCAAAAGTTTTTCGGTCTTCAGTGAAACAATTGATCTGCATGTTTATAATTATAATGAAATACAAATTATTAGCAAAAGTGTGAGAAAAACAAATGGAAAGTAACCTTTGCACATCAGTAAATCACAAAATCACAAATATGAAATAAGTGTTAACAAAATCACAACTCATTTTTCACATTAAATAATAAATATTAAGTTAAATATGTTTTTTAATTAAATATAACCATAGACTAATTAAGATAACCACATATATATAAATGAATGATGAATTTATAGGGTAAAGRGGAAGGGAATACAATCTATGTTTCGACATTTGGGTACACTCTAACTAAAAAGATGTATTGTGGGGGATTTTTTATAATTTATGGCAGTGATTAGTTTGTTAACAATTGAATGTGTTGTGGTTATTCTTTTTTGTGCCTGGATTTGTAATTAACTTTGTTAATAAAAGCCAATTTTAGCTTTTGTTTATCTTATTGCATATTTGCATATAAACTATTAAGCKATATTTAAGGTAATATTATAGCATGTGCTTACGTGATTTTAACTGCTATAAAATACAAAACCTGATAATGAGAATAAGGACTTAAGTAGACAAAGTTCACTGGTTATGTCACATGAAAAATTAGAATTTTTAAAAACCAGTAACAGCCWACAGATTACAGACAAAAATAATCAATGGTTATAAACATTAAATAATTAAATATAATATTTACTAACAGTAATTCATTATCTTTAAAGAARCTATTACCGATTACCATGAAATGGAATTAAAACAATAATAACCAGTTACTGGAAGTAACTTGTTTTACACAAAATCTTAATTTTAATAATTAAATAATTTACTAAGCGTTCATTGTTTAAAAATTTCATTATATTTGATTCACAATTTTATTTATTTTTAATTATAGTTAAAATTTTGTAATATTATAATAGGTAATTGAACAAATACACAAAATCRTTATATTAAAATAATATTATAACATAAAATGTATTTCTTCTTTCAGGTACTATCAAATTGCGTTTATTTGTTTTTTCTCTAGTAGTAACATCTGAACGCCATACTGCAAGATTGAATAATTATATTAATTATATGGTTAATGATTATTAATTACATTTTTATTTATTTTATATTCATTATATTGTTGACATTGAATTAAAAACAAATTTTGTATAATTTATTAGTTCTATTACGTTTACAGTTTTTAAGCAGGTGTTAATACCAATTGTCTGCTAACTTTATTTTACTAGGCCAAGTTTTTTTGAATAATAAGTGTAAGGAATAATTGTAATAAAAAAAAAAAAATGGAATGTAGAAAAACTAAACTCAAAAAGAAAAGAGTTATTGGAGAATTTAAAGAGTGAAAAAACTCTACTTAGTTTTCTTAAACACACAACATTTTTAAAAGAACTTGATGTACATTTTTTATAGAATGAACAAATTTGCAAGTTGAAAAATACTATATAAGACTATATATTTTCTACATTTCATATCTTTTAAAACAAATACAAATTTTAAGACTAAGATATTATAATATATATATATATTATAATTACCTATGCTGTAGCTATACATTTATTTAAGACTGTTGATAGATGTGTATTTTCCAAAGCTGCAGCCACTCTTTCTTTGTCATCTAATTGCTTATTGATAGCATGTTCGGATGCATGAGTGCCTGGAGTTATGGTAACAGATATTTTGAAGCGCGGTGGTAGACACCATAGAAGTCGAACTTTAATAGATAATCCAATCAATGTAGCCATACTGCAATGAGGGATAGTTGGTGTAAATAACACCTTAACTATATTCATGCTATCTTCGACCTATAACATAAAAATATATTATAATAGTATCAAATGTATCAGAATATTTTCAACATAAAATTATTGATAACATGATTAAACTTTTAGTAAAGCTCTGCCTTATTTGGGTCATCATTTTATAGCATAATTTAGTAAACAGTTACCTCAATTAAATTTTGATCAACAACTCTAAGTTCTTCAAGAGACAGTGGATGTTCAGGATCGGTTATTCCTCTGATCAAATCTATTTGTTTAGAGAAAAAAAACGTGATAAATCAGTAAAATAGTAAAAGTTGATTATATATAATCCTTAGATTTACCAAAAATTTCCCTTGAATCAAATTCTTCAGCTTCATCATCGTCCAAATCTTTTTCACTTACTATCCTCTCTTCACTTTTTTCAAATAAAGTTGGATTTTCATTGTCAAGTCCCATTGCTATTTCAAAATAAAAATTATTATGTTCAATGTTATAACTTGCAATTTATTATTGCTTGACTGCTTGTTTCCTTGTAGTTTGTTATGCACTTATGCCTATAGCTTATGAATTGTTAAATTCATCAAGAGTTCAAGACACTTCTGAATATTATTGTAATGGTATCACAAAATAGATTAAATAAGTGATAAGACTCAAGGTATTTATTATTGTTGATAATAACACAATATTAGAATAATAATTATAGTAATACCAATTTTCTGTCTTCAACACATGCGCGTCATAGGATGTTAGYCGTGTTCTTTACGAAACGTACCGATCTAATGTAACGATAAGAATTCTAAAAACAGATTTGAATTTGCCGACAAGTGTCAAGTCTACTTGATTACTTGCAATCCACTTTCCACACATTTTTGATTTTTTGATTTTAACTTTTCCAAAAATTAAAAACGACAATTTTTTGATACACATTTTTAGACATAACGATAACATTTTCAGGAATTTGGGAGGCAATATCGAAAATGTTGAAAAGTCTATCTCAAATAGACTTCACAACAAATCCAAATCTGTTTTTAGAATTCTTATCGGTATCTTAGATCAATTTGTATTGTATGTTTGTCAAAATAACACGTCGAAAATCCTATGTCGCGTGTGCACTAAACAAAGATAGACAATATCGGTATCGAATCCCTTTGAATAGATTATAATATATTTATATACTCATGTCTACATTTAGTATAATGTATAATATACCTGCGGCCTCGCTTTTTTTATTTAGGATCTGTGAACAGGTATTTAGTATRCATATACCTATCATAGAATTTTAGATTCTGAATAGAGCGATGAATAAATTATTTTTATAATAATAATATAACATAATACTTTTTGTTTGTGTGTAAAAGGTGCCTATATAGTAAAAATAGCGTGACCTATRTTATAAAAAAGTACAACGATCTTCAAATTTGGGGTTGATGAGTGATGGTTTCTTATACAAATTGGTATCTAGTTTGTTCCTAAGWGAGGTGAATATTAAGAATTCCCAGTATTTTTCAAAATAATGGGGAAATTCGAAAAATAAATAAGTATAAAGTACTTTTAGTGACAAWATGATGTTTCAATTTTTTTTGGGGGCGATTTTTTCTTTAAATATGTTGATAAAAATGTTTTGACTTGGTTTTAAGCTTAAAAATGTAATTCAAGGTTTAATCATTATTATAGCAGTTACAATTTTTGAAAAAGCATTATAAAATGTTTACAACATTTTGTTGTTWAAAATGCATAAAATATCAAAATGTTCAATTTTTTAACTAAGACTTAGATTAAACATAAGGTCCCTTGTTATTGTAGTAAATAATTCTTGCTGGAATCAAAAAATCTAAAAAATATTTACACAATAGCGATTTAAGTTATTTTGTTGTAATACCTTATAAGTTATTAATATATTTTACGCAATATTAAGAAAAATTACATTAATAGCATTATAATAAATACTTATCTACTTATATCATAAAATAGTAATGCTGATAAACTGCCTTCACACAAAATTCGTTTTTCGTAAATACAATGATTTTTCATAACAGTTTAAATTTAATGCGTACTTATATGCATTTCAGTGACTTACTCAATTACGACTTAACGAAATTTCTATATCTACTGATGTACAGCAGAGTGGTTATACCTACTTGGCTAATTGGCTATACTTTCTCCAACTTTTTCAATGTAATACATATTACATATTTTTATATTATGTTTTTTAAACATGCTGTCTAAAAAGATTAAAAGACCCTTGAGTGGCTGAGCCCTGATGTTAGGAATTAAAAAATAATAGATATGTTTGTGGGTGTAGACATAATGCGTTGTAAAATATCTAGTAACTTGTTACATTTTGCTAGACATTTTATTTAGTTTTTTTTTAGTTAATTTTCGTTTTTATGGCAAAACGTTACGGGAATCGGTTTACGGTTACTGGTTACTGGTTAGAAGTGTTAGAACACAAAGTTGAAACCAACCTAAAAACAGTAAAAACATATYTATGTTGAACAAAAATTGTAATTAGTTTAAATACATTTTTCAATTTTTGTCTAGTAGGATTTCTAATTTTTATTTGCAGATGACACTATAAAACTCGATTYAACTTATTTTTGCTACTTTATTAAAACATGTTATATCGAAAACGAATACTATACCTATAGTACCTACATCGCTGTCAAACCAGTTGGTTATGTAGCAATCTGTTTGCCTTTACTATATATAGCGGCTAGCTTGTGAATTGTGATGCCTCAACCTTGTTCTACTCTAATTGTATTTTTTTTATGAAGGGTCCAATTTAGCGATCCAGATAAAACACTTTTCAATAGTCCAATTTCATTAWGCTTTTTAAAAGTTGCCCATCGTCGTTCTTTGTTAAATAAATAAATTGTAAATGGTATTATGTCCTGATAACACAACATTTCAAAATTTGTAAATGATTTGCTCCAAAATATAAAATACAATATATGCATTATAATGTTATAATTTATTCATCGGATAGCGTGGGACGTATGTCCCTTTCCGAGGCTTATTATAGGCGAGGTTTTGGGGCTTAACCCTCCTCTCCAAACTTTTTTTATAGTTAATGAAAATAAATAAATAATAATAATTTATGTTTTCATAATAATATGATAACTTATTATTGATAAATGATAAGTGTGTATTAATGTGTCATGTTTGTATTGCTAATTGTTATACCTTATTTATATTATATTATAAATATATAACTATACAAGTATAATATAATCGAGCGAATACGAATTTTATTGGCATTTATTTTGCTATCCATGCATATCACAAACAATATTTTGTCGACCCAAATTTGGTTATTGGAGCTATTGGAGGCCATTTTGGACCTATGCAATTCTTAATTTTTTCAAATGTATCTTTTTTTGAAATTATCAGCTATACATTATCAGTTTTGAATTAAACACCAGAACTCACATTGGACGCATATTTTCTACCATGAAAAGATTAATCAAACTCATCAGACCTAGTATGTATTTATCTAATATCTTATGACTTATACATTACAGATCTATAACGTGAACGCCTAGTTCTTTTTGTTTTTTGAATGTACTGTGTTCATAGACAAATTGAATCAATCCAGATGATGTGATCGATCGTTTCACTAAATAAAATAAAAGACTGTTAGAATTTGTGCCATAAAAATATTTAGTTAAAACTTAAAAATGTAGTAAATTTATCAGTAAGTTAATCAGTCGCATGTAATGTGTAATAAACCTGTAATAACAGTCGGAATTTTGGGAACGGTGAAATGTGTACTCACTGTACTTCCCCTCTTAATAGCGGACGGCATTTAAGCGACCGAGAGTGTCCGGTATTTAGAAGTTTCACTGTAGTACATTTTAAAATCCTCTCATGACTATATCTTTAAAACTTTAAACATAATAAAACCTATGAGATTCATTAGATAATATTATTCTTATTTTTTAATTTGATATCAGGTAGTTGGGTACTCAGGAGTGGTAGGGAAGGAATCCTCTTCACCATCATGGCATCATCTCATAAAGCCCCTTATTTGTTTTTTTAGGTATTCGTATTTCAAGTAAGGCTGGGCATTAACGAGTTAATAAGTTAAAAGTTAAGTTAATTTTAACTTATTAACTTAACTTACTAGTTCGCTGTTCTTAATAAATTAACTTTAACTTAACTTATTTTTATCTACGTTAACTTAAAATCAACTTATACTTTTTTAATATTACCAATGAAGTTAATTTAGAATTTTCGTTTTATCCAGAATATATTTTAGTCTATAACGGTTCGTCGATTTAAAATTCGTAGAATATTAGAAAATATTGTTGGGAAAAAAAGAAGATATTTTCGTAATTATTTTTATAAATAACAACTAMTATGTTATATTAATTAAGTATGTACAAATAAAATAATAAATAATAATTTATAACATAGAGATAACATTGTAACAATGTGACATTTAGTCGCCCGTATGATCATATTATTATATAAGATATATCATAGCTACGAGCTCACAAAGTCATGCTTAATAATACATGATATTACCAGGTACTCATTAATTATTATTATTATTATTATTACTTAATATTTATTAATATCTTATTTTATAATTTTATGATTGTTGATTATCATGAATTGTGACCATTTTATTACAATAATACCTACCTACCTATAAATAGTGGTGTATTATACATTTGTACAATAATTGTACATTCGTAGTTCATAATATAGTTATCATTCCTAAACGCTAAAACTTCTTGTTGGCAATTATTTGTCTAATAAAAATATTAAATCTGCACACGTTGAGCGGCTCTTTAATGTTGGAAGGCTCAACAACAAGTGAGGCTCAATGGCAGATCAACATTTTGAAATKACTGTTATTGAACTTTAATAAATACTTGAATAAACCAGCTGAAAAGTACTAGTTTTTGTTATACCTTATTTTTAAATATTTGAGTTATTTATTTTTGAATTGTTAAGGTTAAACTATAAGTAAGCACATTTAAACTAAAGTATAAATCAACACAGACTCCAGAGTGAAATATAAATATTAAATAGAGTTATAAAATGATACAGCCTTACAACAGTTTTTTAATTATATACATCATATTAATATAAGCATATACTATATTCATAGATATATTACCTACTATACAAGTGATTTTCACTTATTTTAAAACCTTTTCAATGCTTTTTTTTTATTAACTTAATTTATTAATTGAAGTTAAGTTAACAAAATACAAAGTTAACCTAACCTAACCTAACTTAACTTTAAACTTAATTGATGAATTAAAAAATATATTAACTTAACTTTTAATTTAATTTAACAAAAAAAAATTTAACTTAACTGAGTTAAAAATAATCATTAACTTGCCCAACCTTGATTATTTTCAACCACAATTTATTTAATTCTATTATTGCTTATAATACTCCCCCCGCATTGAAAATTCCTATGCACTGATAATAGGTCAATTCACTAGGTAACAAGTAAATGAATTATTCATATCGTACAATTTTCTATGTTATATTCAATAATTCAATATTGTTATGGCGTTGTACGTTTGTAAGACGGAGACAACGCATAATATTATACGGGCATCAGGCCCGTTTCATGTGAGCGTTTATAATAGTACTCGTCACTT